GCCATCTTATTCAAACCAGGGAGTAATGGAATGAATCCTGACATTTCTGAGGTATTCATCTTGTGCTGTTGTGTTGGTACACAAATGCACATCTCGTTCAAGCAGATGTTTGGATGTGAAAGCTACTAATCGTTCAGTAATCGGGAACATGGACTACTTCAAGGCCCTGATGTGGCTGATGCATCCTAAAATGGGACCAACAGGAGAAGGACACTACTGGTGATCATTCACAAGAAAAGGGTTACAGAAGGTATGTGGAGAAATTCCAAACTGTACAAATCACAGTTTGCATAAAAAGATGCTAGATGCAATATCCAAGATGCAGTGTGCTATTTCTTGACATAAATTCTTGAGTGTCTTAACATGGGAATGTTTGTTCCGTGGAGAAGATGTGATTTGGATTGCCTTTCATCTTCACTCTTCATTTAAATAGAAGTCACAGGACCAAATTACCAGGTTGGGAGTAAATCCTGTTGAAAACACATCTTTCTGCTGCTAATTCCTTCATATCAATGGTTCATCAGATGACGGAAGTACTAGACTGGAATTGCATGGATCTCATCTTGATTTGGTTAAGGACTATTGGTTAAGGATGATTGGTTAAGGATGATGTTCTCCACCAGTTAGCCCAGGCAAAAGAAAGTCAGTCCCCCTTTTTTCATCCATATTTTGGCTATTCCAGATGATGTCTCCACCAAAATACCAGTGCCCCACAGGGTTTGAGCTCTTCTACTTGTAAAGCTGCATTGACTGCAGGTAAGTCAGCAACCATACAATCAAATTGAAGTTGAGTAGGTATGCGCAAGTTTTCCAGATGTCCACAGCATTCAGACTGTCACCCGCTTCAGATTGTTTTCCTTGTGGGGGAAGAAGTATGGCCTTGTTTGAGAGGAAGATGATGAGGCTGAGAGGACAATTTAATCATTTAATCTGGCGCTGAAGCAAAAACCGTCACACAACTTTCTGTCTTCAAGAAACGTCTCGGATGTGTTTGATTTCCGCAAAGCTGATTAATTGCTTGTACTATCCTAATATGTATTTGTTTATGTTTTTACCATGGGAAGAAATTGCATATGCAGAAAAATCTGAGGTAGATGCCCATAGACACAGATTTGATCACTAACCTGCATTTGATGATTACAACCTCATTCAGCAATCACCCATTCTGCATTGAGTGAGTACTGGAACATGTGGATGGAGCAAAGATGCTTGGGTTGAAGAAGACCACCATTGTGATGTTTCCATTGTGTAGAACCAAGAGCTATCAATTCACAATGAAAGAAACCAAGAAAGCATAATCAAAATATTCTATTCATATGGACACTCCAAGAGGAACGTTTTGAAGCCATTTTGTATTTACTCATTTGGAAGACACCTATATCCAGAGATTTATGTATACAGTGCCTTCAAGATCGACAATTTGTGTTCCCTGCCAAACAAACCCATGACCTTGGCGTTGCTAGAACCATACATTACCAGATGATCTACTGGACCTCCTTCTGCATTTTGTTTCCATATTTGGACTTTGGATTAGAAAGTCATCCCGTTGTATCAGTAAATGAAGAGAACTCGGTAGACATGGCTATTTACAAGATTCTAAAATAAATTTTTGCCAAGTTTCCTAAATATGCATCTGTTATGTTGAGGTATTTTTAACAAGGATTTGGCAATGAAGAAAATGGAAGACCCAAAGTGGCAACTGCAAATTCGACAATAATACCTGTTTACAGATGAACTTCTTTGAACCAACTGACAGCAGAGATTTGATTTCATTCCCAAGACAGTCAAGCAGCAAGATTTGCTTATGAGATTTACATAGAAATGATTTACCATATGCCAAGTAAAAGTCTGCAATCATTGCTGAAATTGGAGGGTATGCCATTTTATTCAGCAAGAAGAAGGATCTGTGAAGACACCAACCCCACCGAAGATCTTCAAAAGTCTTCCAGCAGTTACCTAAAGTTGATGCCATCGCTCCCATAATTGAGTTTATTATGAAGTTCAATGCATCTAATACTTGTCTAAGATTACTCAAGCTCACCAATCAAGATATTGCATTGCAAGAAAAAACACATTGAGATGTTTTGACTGATTTTATTGGTCGCCATGTGTTGGCACTCTGGAACAAATTTGTTTATTGAAGGATCCTCTGAATGGAAACACGCAATGACAGTGAGAGGAGAGGCATGAACTTGCCATTTTTATTATGACCTGACATTTTTATTATGCACCATTCAATTATTTATGTAGTGATATGAAGTGTACTTTAAATACTCTGATGATGCACTTTAAAAAAAATTTATGGAATGTTGGACACTTCATGCACTCACTGTCTCAGCTTTAATTACGTAGCAAAGGGGGTTGGGCTATCAGTCACCGATTATGAATGAAATAACCTTAGAAAATCTCATACACAACATTGTTGAGTATAGCTTTTGTTTTTCAGCACAATGCTCAATTTGAACTGAAATTACGAATTGTTAAAATGACAATCTGAATAGCGTGCACCTACTTTTTATTTACTGGGTCACAGTGAATCAACTCAGTGAATCGTTTAAGTTGTTTTCTGAAAAGGAGACCACTTTTAATTTCATTGGAAGAGACGTCTTAGAAGAATTAATAAAAGTAGTGCTGGTAAATTTCTAGATAAAAGGGATTATATGACAGGTAAAGGGCTGTTAATCTTAAACTTTACTTCTGAACATTTGTACATGAACTTTGTTATTCCAGTTTATATTCATTCATGTTATCATCTGATTAATTTGTTGATAGGAGCATTTTAAAGCTGGAATGGGACCTTGTATCTTTATATCATGTGACCTCTTGTTCAGTCATTTAGGATATTCTTCAGATAGGCAGTTATCACTTGACTTAGTCAATGTGGGTCGACAACGCCTTGATTTCCTTCCCATGCTGGAGCATTCTGGAACTTACAGGGAGTCAGCAGTGCATTCTGGGACATTTGCCCAAGAGATCATCACCCTTGTGCACCAAGTTAAAGGTCAGGAACCAATGGATTAGCTTGGCAGTATATTGTGTATCTTAGAAAGAGCTTATATTACGTAGCAAAGAGTTGATTTTGGTTAACTGTTTGCTTATTTGTTTTGCAGAAAATTACTTTAGGGGCCGAGGCATCACACTTAATGAACGTTTTGGAAATGAACAGTTTTATTCACTCCAAGATGAGTTTAAGGAGGAAGAAGAAGAACAGGAGGAGGAGATGGGAAACGTGAGACCAGTCATGAATAGGTACACTTGCCAGTTAATTTGTTTTTATTCATTAGTGGAGCTTGCAAAGGTAAGCATGACTATTATTTTTATTTAGGATTAATGTTTTTATTTATGATTAAAGATTTGATAACCCCAATCCTAAATTAGAAATTTTCTCCACACCATTTGTGATACAAGCATGAAAATTCAGGTCTTTTATTATAGGCAACACAGAATGCCTTCATCAGAAACTCAGATCTTCTGCAAGATAGGGCCGGATCCAGTAAGTCGATCTGTTTTTTTAGGTCCATCAACATCAAATAGAATATTTTATGTATGTTGGTTCAAATTTGAAATGTTTTGCTAGCTTCAGAGACGACAGGATGTCCCCGACCCTAGTGACCTCCGGTATGACCTGGAGCGAAGAAGACAACAGCGAATGGAGGGTGTGAAGATCACCATTGCTGGGGGAAACTTTGCTCCAGCGGCTCCTGAGGGGTATGGACTGAAAAGTGTTCCTGTTAGCTGTCTTCAGACCAACTTTTAATATTATTGCTATACATTCAGGTGCTATGCCAATATTTTTGATTTACAAAATTATGGCTTGGTTTCACATACAGGGCTTAGACTAAGCCAGGATTAGGCCATAGTTCAATTAGCTATTGTCTATTGCAATTGTCTTTCCAAAGTCAAGAGAGTGATCCCTATGTGAGAGATGATCCTGAAGAAGTGGATGAGAACTTTAGGTGGTCAGAACAAGACCATGAGCGTCAAAGGCAGTGGGTGAGTTGTTGTTGATGTGAAACGTGTCTTATTTTTAAGAGTATAATTGTTCATACCATGACTCAATTTGGTCCTTCAGGATGGTCCCCGTCAAAGAATGCCAGTACCTAACAGACAGAACTTCAATCCGCGGGGGAATTTCAATCGGAAAAGCAGACCACGGGGACGGAGGACTTGAAATAGTGGTGAGGAAAATGTGCGTGTGTGTGTATTTAATTATATTATGATTATGTATGTTTAGATAAATATGTATTTATATATATCTTTTTTGACTAATATATATTTATACATTATTTCTCTGAATTTCAAACATAAGTATTTGATGTAGTGTACATTGCTTCTTTATTTTTCTGTTCTCTCTATTTAGTTTTGTTTGTTACCTGCAGGTGGCAGTGCGTGAGAAGAAAGTCAACAATTCAGACCTGAGGTCACTTGTGTGCAACTGTGTTTTTGTTGTGTCCGTTTTGATATTAGAACCACTAAGACCTTGATTCAAAGTCCACTGCTTCTCCACATTTGGTGGATCTTTTTCATCCATTTTTTATTCACCCACTACAATTTGTTTGATTTAAGGAAACCGCTTGTAAAGATTATTTGATTTGAAGATGGAAACAAATGTAAATAGGGCACCTCAATGGGCAAGTTAAAGTGATAAAGATTAAGTATCACCTTGCCCTGCTCTCATCCTGAAATAATGCTATTCTTCATTATCAGTGGAGTAACCACAGTTTAGTTTTTGATTTGATATTCCACAATATTTACAAGGCACAAATTACAATTTATACAATATGTAAATGTAATTGCCAATTCAATTTTGAAATTCAATTGCCATTTCATAGCAGTACGCAACACATGGATAGTTTTGCTTTTATACTAAAATACAGACTTTTTGTCGTACCTACATATGACAAAATAATTTCATATTTGATGTATCCTGCTGTGTAAACTCAAAAGTAGAAAATAAAATCTATTTGTGCCCAAATGTTCTCAAATGACGCTTCAGCTGGTTTCAGTCCACATAATTTATTTTACAAAAGAATGCAAAAGCTGTACATGTAAAACATCTTTACAGTAGAATATTTGGTTCATACATAACTATACAGAAATTATATAGATCGTTCCAACAGGAGTCAGAATTTAATATTGTAAAACTGCACTTTAATTCTGCCCTCAACACAAAATGTGTCTGGTATAACAATTTATACTAGTACAATCACAGTAGTAATCACAGAAAAGGCACTAAAAGTTTTTAACTGTTTAGACACTTTGAAATGTCTGTTATAGTTCAGATAGGCGTTTCAATGTGATTTTCTACAGATGAGATTAATTACAGGGCAACGGTTTGAAAGACACCTCAGCATTCTCCTCCAAAATAATGTCATATCGACACATTAGTGGCCTGTTGGGGAAAGGAGCAGGCACCATAATTACAAACATATTTTTGTTGAGCATGCATTACAAATGTTATAATATTTTACTGTATTTTACACAATTTTTTTTCATATAAATGCAGCCTTGTTGAATGTAAAAGACTTCTTTCGAAAACATTTGATCCTAAACTTTTGAACAGTAGTGTCTTAATTCATTAGTTTAGGAAAGTTTGGATGGGCAGTAATTCAGAAAAGTAATTGTAGTTATTCACCTGTTTGGATTTTCCAGTGGGGTTATCCGAATACGAAGCAGCCTTATCTTGTATCGAGGTCCAATCATATTCCCAGTGACAATCCGTAAAGAGATTTTCTGAATTGGATATAAATCCTCATCAAACTGTGCCAGTAATCGAGTGGATGTATACTGCTCAAACCTCAACTGCTTCCTAACAAAAACATTCAAAACAACCATTACATGATGACAAGTCAAAGATGAATGGATCTATAAACTCATTATTGCAGTTACGTACGTATCTATCTGGGACTCTATTACATTTTTCCCGTTGTACAGTCGGAGTATGACCACCCCCCAGCGCAGAAACTGGTTCCAGGTAACTAGGTCCACTCTGTAGCTTGTCTCTGTTAAAATGAGAAATCAGAATATTGCACAACCCCTTTTGAGAAGAAAACCTCTGCAATGAGCCGTTATAGAGCTGCTAACTCACTGCTGTAGGGGAGCTCTGCCGTCGTTGAGAAATACGCTCTTGTTTGCCCCAACCTCAAGAGTGTATCCCTCCACTGGCTCATGTCATAGCCTGAAGATGAAGATCATGGTTAATCTTACATTATAAACAGCTAGGGTCTAACAGCACTGTGACCTTTTTGTTTGTATCACTCTGCTTCATATGTTTGGTTGTAATTGCTGGCTCAAAAAAAGTATTAGATCTTTTGTCACATGATCCTTCAGAAATGTTGAACGAAGCTCAAGAAGCACTTATTGTCAGTGTTGTGAAAACGGTTGTGCTGCTTAATATTTTTGTCGAAACCACGATACGTTTTCTTTAATAGAAAGTTCAAAAGAACAGTTTAATTAAAAATATTTTGTAACATACGTAGTCTCTTTTGATCTAATAATGCATATTTTCTAAATAAAAGTATTAAAGGGGTCATATGATGTTGCTAAAAAGAACATTATTTTGTTTAAGGTTCAAAAAACACATTATTTTCCACATACTGTACATTATTGTTTCTCCTCTATGCCCCGCCTTTCTGAAACGCGTCGATTTTTACAAAGCTCATCGGTCTGAAAAGCGAGGTGTGCTCTGATTGGCCAGCTATCCAGTGCGTTGTGATTGGCCGAATACTTCAAGCGTGACAGAAATGTTACGCCCCTCACCATACTGTGATGCCCTGTTTTTTTTTAAAATCGCTCTGTGATTACAACAGTAGGTGGCGACAAGCAGCTGACTAGGCTGATGATACACTGGGCAACTTTTTAAGCAATTTTGACTGGTAACTTTTTTGAGCAATATTTCTTGGGCACTTTTCCATTGAGAATGGGTAACAAATTTCTATCTGGATATTTTAGATCGGTCGTGGGCCCTGTGTCTCACCTGGTTCCCCATTGACGGCAAAAAGTTGCCCCGTGTATCATCAACTGATGCCTGATGAAAAAAAACACTGATTCGTTTAGAAACGAAACACAACTACTGTGTGTTGCTCGGACAAGTGACGGTTGATGATGTTCTTATAGCCTACTGTAAAAATTATTTCTGTTTTAAAAGAAAATACTGTTTCAGTCCTTCTTAACATTTAATTCTGTCAATTGTGAAATTCACAAGCAATTTCTGAATCAAAAATGTTTCTACACCAAATTTTTTCAGTGTAGTTTGTTAGGAAATATTTTAATTGGCTGAGCAAAAGCAGGCTGGCAGTACCTGGAAATATTGTGTCTAAAATGTAAGTTACCCTGTATATTCATTTCTTTATTGAACTGTTGTTTATATCACACTTGCAGTGTTTACTCAGTATTCATATTTGCATTTATTGTGGTTAATTAATAGATGTATTGCTTTTACCCAGAACAGGACAGGAAGCAGGCTTGAAGGTCTCACATTGCAAACACTGACCACTGAGGAAGTCGCTGTATGAGGAACACGGATATGCCATAAGTTTACAGGTGTGATTCAGAGCACACAGGTACAGGAAAACAGACCTCTGATGATCACACACAAAATAAGATTTTCCTGTGGAGAAGAGAAGGAATGAGATTACGTGTTAACCCTGTTAACACAACCTTGTAATCAACTCAAACCCATTGTGAGGATTGCATAATTTAATTATGACAGAATCTTAATTACACAGCCAGCTTTTTGCGTTTTGGGGGTTTGTCTGGAGAGCATTCTGTATGGGATATACCATTACATCAGATCTCAAATCTGACCTTTCCCAAATGTTTTATCTTAACTTAACTGACCTGAGAAGATGGTCTTGGGACATCCAGGCTGATCTAATCCTCCATTGGCATAGAAATCAATATGGCCATGGGTTCCTCTAAGGCCAAAAGCTGCGACAGGAAACAGTGTTTGAGCGTTGAATTTTTAGGCTATGTTTGGCACACTATGCAATACTATTTTAGTAAAACAGTGTGCAAATTTAAGTATGCATGGAATACTTGGATGACCTTCCACACACGCAAAAATGTGAAATATACAACAAATATTCATCTTTTTTTGTTTATTCTGTGATTTCAGTAGCATGTCCTTAAATTTATTATACTTACAATTCATATCTGTGTGCAGCACATCTACAAACTGGGCATCAGTTGGATCCAGGCGTTCCTCAGTGGGAGCACTGGCAAACATTGGCCCTGCTGGGTCCAGACCTAGAGTCGACCAGGTGAAACATTTAGTAAACAATATTTATTGGACAGGAATAACTAACTGAAGATGGTACGACCGGTTTTGTTTCATTGGATTTCCTGAATTTCACCTGTGATTCTGCCCACCTGTCCTCCCAGCATTGCGCCAATGAATCCAGCTATATGTGCACCCAGACTGACCCCAATCAGATGAATGGAGTCAAGAGATGCTCCCTCTTTCTGAAAGTAACACCATATTGATTAAATTGGCAGACCTTACTGGCCAAAGCTATTTCAGAGCTGAAACGCTAATGAAAGACTACTAACCCTACCTTCATACTCTCTATGAAGCCGGTGATGTTCACAGCCGTACCCCGTGTGTTGGCCACAGCCGTGAAGTAATTGAGATTGGCCGCCCCTCTGTTCCAATCCACTACCAGGATGTTCATGTCCTTCTGTGCTGCTAACAAGTGCACAATGAGGTTGATCCAGATAGGCGGTGCCCCTGTGGGTCGGTACCCATGTATGACAAAGGTAGTGGGTCTGCTTACATTAAACAGGGGTTCTTGAGTGAAGTTGTGGTGCGGGAGCTCCTGACCACACTCGAGGTTTGCACGGGTGTACAGCAGCAGGCGCACGTACAGATAGGTCCCCATAAAAGACTCATGGAAATCCAAATCGGTGAAGTTGTCGCAATCACTGTCTTCACCTAAAGACAGACGACACTGGTTTACTGGTCTGTATTGTGTTTGTGTGAAAGAGATTTAAGTTGTAAACTACTGAACTGAATCATTGTTATGGCTTGTTATACCTTTTTGTTTCTAGCTACTTTTGTTTCAGAAAAAAACTGTAAACTTAACTTAAATGAAAATTAGAAATGTTGCTGTGGCAAGTTTAAGTACTAAAATGACTAAAAGTTAAATTAATTAAAGCTATATAGGAATATTTGAAGAAACTAATGAAATTACAAATGCGCACAGAAAAATTACTGAAAATTAAACTAAAATAAAAATTTTAAATATAAAAATAAAAGAAAATAAAAATATTAGTAAATATTATCATAGTATATAAATAACGCTAAAATAACACTGCAGCATGGACAGATCTATACCAAGTGATATTTATTTTAAAAAATATTGTACAAATGCATATTAAACAAAAATTTGCACAAAAAGAAGCTTATGTTTCACGTTATACAATGTTAAGTTAGTTTTATTCAAAATAAAGACACAAATAAAAGTGTTTGGACACTTTCTGGTTGTCAGTTCAGTTGGCTGAGACAACATTAAATGGGTATTCAGTGCATGGTTAGAATTTAATTTTTTTTAGAATTTCTTTTTAGAAAATGTACATTTGTTTTATTATTTTTTGCATTTTAATCATGAAAATGTTAAATGTCTGCATATCACAAAATATTACCAGAGCCAAAATGTTCAAATTAAACATTTTGCTATCTTTGTGTTTCTCATGTAGCCTTCGGTTAGCAAGCTTAGCCACAGTTTAGCCATCTAGCTTAGCATAGTGCTAGTTGGCTCTTTTGATTAGTTAAAATAATATCAACATAACACACTATTTTTTAACAGGCATCAATGAGATTTTTAAAATGTGAAGAAAAGGTCAAAAATGGCTCAGAAAAGTGTGGGTAGTTCTGAGAATAGTTCTAGCATCTGCATAGTGCAGTGAAATTCATACATCTGTTCTGTGTTTTGCGTCCTAGTTTTACCATAATGCCTTAGTTGATCATTTACAAATGTTCCTGATTTTCTGGAGACTGGTGATAACAATTTTGTTCTGTACATTTTGGAAAAAACTCATAAAGGTTAATGTCATCTCTATTCTTTTTTCTTTTTTTCCCCAAAATCGACACAATCTGATCCACAAGTAAAGTAAGGCTGGATTTTAGCGACCCAGTTCCCGTTCATCTTGCTGTGCGTCATCTCCACAACACACATCAACATTTCATGCTTCCATTTCTCTTTGCCATCAACCTGCACAATATCCTTTTGATCAACCTGCAGATCCTCACACCATATGATGTGTAAACCTTATATTTAAGCCACGCAACCTCTCAGGTATTCCATGTAGATTTCCGACCCTAGAGGTAATCTGTGCTCCGTAATTAGCCTGCACGCAAGCCACAATTGGATCATGCTTCTATAAAAAAGCAGATCATCCCACCTCTCCATCCACATGTTCCCCTGCCCCCTCCTCTTCCCCCAGTAGAAAGATCTGAGATGATTACAGGTGTCAGTCACATGAGCTGTTGTATTTAACCCTCTTTCACGCTGATCTGTTATGTCTGCCATCTGCACGCATTACTCATTACACACGTCACTGAAATAACATTGGTAAAAACAGGCTACAAATAAATCCTCAAGTCCTTGGATCATTAACTGTCCTAGATACCAGAAAAAAAATCACCTCTTATTTTCCTCAAATTATTCTTTTGACCTAATCAAAACCCCGTTATGCCTTTGTTTCACAACAAAGCGAATATGCACTTTTTTTGAAAACGTGAGAGGTGTCCATTCTAATGTCTGGATTCAAGTTGCAGTATAACTATGCATTTATTCATGTTTTGAGTCTTTGAGACCTCCAACATAAATAATGCAACATTTTGCATGGGAGACACTTAAAGTGTATTAAAATAGTTGAAATTTTGGATAAGACACCAAATATCAACCTAAATGTTCTTTGAGCTATTCAATTGGCCATTGGATCTTTCAGACCCCAACAACATTAAGGTTAATGTTGTTGCAGCTCATCACACAGCTGAATAGAATAAATGAAGACTTCAGATTCAAAAACCTCTTAAGGCCGTCTAAGATTGTCTTTTTTTTAATTAGCATGTTTATCAGGCTTCTATGTTAAGGTTCAGTACATTCACTTTAATGTTAATGAAATGGTTATTAATTAGTTATTGAATGACTTATTTCCAAAAATGTCCAATGTTATATTCATAGGAGCCTGATAAAAAAGCTAATTTGAAGGAAAAATTTGAGACGGGCTTAGAGGTTTTGCATCTGAAGTCTTCAAATACAGAATGTTGAATAAGAAATGAAAAACTTCCCAGGTTAACTATGACCATATAGTCATGACCATTTTTTTCGAAAAGAAATGGCTGAATCCTTCTAAAAAAAAATTTTATAAATAATTTTCCTAATGCCCAGATGATAATAGTCAGCTGATCAAACTGTTAGCCAAATTAAATCAGTGTAATCTATTGGATAGAGTCCTGTCTCTTACCTTTACAAAGCATAAAGATGCTCAGCAAAATCAGGAAACGCCACAGTGACATCCGCACCACAAGATGTGACAGAGGTAGACACAAGATATCAAGAAAACTAAGAAATAACATTGGAGTATCTGTAGTAAAGGAAAGAGCCCATGGTGGAGGGGTTGTGGGCGGAGCGAAGGAGATTGAATGAGATCACAGCTCACGCTGTGGTTAGTGGACGGTGTGATAAGTCAGCAGGCCATCTTAGGACTTTCAGAAGAGTACAGATCATGAAAAGAAGCATTTGTTGGTGACTAAACGACTTTACAGGGACAGTTCATCCAAAAAAGGAAAATTCTGTCATTTACTCACCCTCATGTTGTTCCAAACATGTATAACTTTTTTTTGTTTTGGGCATTTTTGCATTTTTCCTTGACAGGACAGTAGAGATGGGGGGTGGGAACGGGAAAGGTCCACAAGGTGGGATTCAATCTCAGGACACCCAAAGTGCAACTGCACCATATGTCGGCGTGCTGCCCACATGGCCATCGGCGCCACCCTGTCTAACTTTCTTCGTTAGATTATAGAAGATATTTTTGAAAAATGTTTTTTTGTCCAAACATTGAAAGTCAATGGTGTCCAAAGTCCTTTGAACCTTAATGATCTTCAAAATATCTTCTTTTGTGTTCTGCAGAAGAAAGTCATACAGGTTTGAAATGACACAAGAGCAAATAAATGTGAACAAATTACAAAATTTAAATTTTTGAGTGATCAATTTCAACATTTTTTTAGACACTTGCAGTTGCTGCTTCTTCTTGTCAGGCATATTCTGCCCTCCGGTTTTGTTCTGCATTTAAAGGGCACAAGGTCACAATAGAGTGGTTCTCCTTCCAAACTCTAGTAAATGAGCAACATCAGCACAGATATTCATAGTGCATACCCTGTCAGCAAATACACACATGCCATTTTCATATTGCGCCCATATAGAGCATTACTATTGTAATAGTCTCCAGAGAGAAGCAATGACCCAGAATACATTTACATTTCTTGCTGACTGCCTTAAAACCTTGTTTCCTCTAAAACGAAGTTATGCATGAAATTAGCACTGCCCTATATCTTGTAGCCTCACCAACTTACTTTACTGCATCTTTGCATTCCCTGCAGGTCCTGTTTATGTGAGTGTAGCAACAGCAACAGAAATGACTGCAGTACAGAGGTATGTTTCTTTTAAATTATTCATCAGTATGTATATAGATCAGCATATATACTGGAGACAGCAGAAATGAGAGCATTCAGGGTCAGAACAGAAGCTGTTTTTGTTTATGTGAGGTTGAAACAGATTAGATGGCAGATTACAGTAACTACTAAACTGTCCATCCATCCCTGCATCTGATGTAGTCAAACCTATTATGTGACTCACCGATCAGGGCTCATTGTACCCATTTTTTTTTGGAGATCTGCATGGAGGAATGGGCCAAAAAATACCAGCAACAGTGTGTGAAAACCTTGTGAAGACTTACAGAAAACGTTTGACCTCTGTCATTGCCAACAAAGGGTATATAACAAAGTATTGAGATGAAATTTTGTAATTGACCAAATACTTATTTTCCACCATAATTTGCAAATAAATTCTTTAAAAATCCTACAATGTGATTTTCTGGATTTTTTTTCTCATTTTGTCTCTTATAGTTGAGGTATACCTATGATGAAAATTACAGGCCTCTCTCATCTTTTTAAGTGGGAGAACTTGCACAATTGGTGGCTGACTAAATACTTTTTTTCCCCACTGTATGTTCATTTTACAAAGGCAACACTTCAGTGGTCAAGCACTTTACCATGAATTCATTCTTCATATAAACACAATCCCAATTCACAGTCTGGCCTCTGGCACACACCTTTAATTACTAGGAAAATTCCATTGAGCAAATCCAGTTTGTTTTTCTGCTGTTCTGTGCCATAGTGTTAGGACATAAAGACTCAGGATTCCAGTCAACAATATGACTCACATTATTGTAATGTTTATTGAGAGAGAGCTCCTGCTGTATTTTAAGGGGAGGTCAGGTTAGCATCACTGAACTGTATGGATGAATGATTAAATTAATAAAAATAAAAATAAAAACAGATGAATGGTGGATGAATAAACAATGTATGACACTTTTTTCATGTAGATTGATTTATCAATTTATTTAAAACACTGAAAGAAAATATAAGTGTGTGTGTGTGTGTGTGTGTGTGTGTGTGTGTGTGTGTGTGTGTGTGTAT